TAATTGGAAATTTCTGGATATTACCAAAGAAAAAGAGTTCTTTTTTTTAATTAAACGTATTCTTAAATGTAATATACTATATTAAAATAATGTAATTATAAGTATGTATCTACGCTAAGGTATTAAATTATCTATTAATCTTACAATAAGGTTAGGTTTTAGTTTAAGAAAAAAGAAAATGTAATAACTTTTTATGTATTGTTTGTTGAAATCAAAAGTTATAATTTAATCGATTAAATTAAACATGTTTTATAAAATTATAAAAGTATTATTTTTTTAAGCTCAATATTATTTCAAATGTAAAATAGTATCGTAACTTGTAAATAACCGTTTATTAAATGGTTAGGTAATAAATCAAAATGTTATAAAAATAACATAGTTTTCAATTTATTTCACATGTACTTGTATATATAATAAACAGTTAATTATTATAAAATAGTTAATATACTATTTAATAGCTTATCCATGTATTATCTTTAATATTTAATGCAAGTTTTAAAACAGAATCAGCATTTTATATCATTTTACTTTATTATTTTTTTAATAAAACATGAATTTATATTATTGTACTCAAAGTAATATATTTTATCTTATCGACTAAACATTTTAAAATGTATAATATAACTGACATTGTAAAAAATAAAATATAATATAAATCAAATATGTTAAGAAAATAATAATATTATCTTGGTATTATAAAGCTATATCATTCGGATTTATATAACTGAAGTCTGCAGCTTTAGCATGAATTATGGTTCTATCAAGAATAATGTGCCATGTGAATTAGCAGGATATTAACGTAATTTTGTGTAATTAATAATATGACAATTTTCAAAGTAAATGAACAAAATTGTATTTTAATAATAAGATTAAAATTATTGTTTTACAGAACTTGCACATTGTCCAAATTTCAGCAATTAATAAACTTTTTTTTTGTAGACTACTTATGTCACTATAAACTAAGGTCTTAAGTTATAAACTATCTAGAAAAATACTATTATTAGGATTATATTTTTTAATAATATAAATAGATTAATGAGTATTAACTTTCTATGATGCAAGTGAATCTAACTAGAATTCTTTAGACGGTTTTCGTATAATAATCAAAGTTTGAATGGTTAAATTATTAGATTATTATGTACCTTACTGTAAGCACAGATTATATTCAAACTTGATTTAGATACTTATAACTTTGATAAATTAACTTTATTTATTGAAAAAAGGGTTGTCTTGAGCATTTTTATTTCTGGAAAAGTTTAATTCTTTATTCCTTTTGAACAAATTATACGAATTGTTTGTGGAAAAAGTATTTCTCAAAAACAAATAGCGGAAATAATTTACTTAATTTAGATTGTTTTGAATAGATTATTTGAGCAGAATACTTTTTAAATGTATTCAAAAAATACGTATTTAATTAATTTCACTTAAATATATCCACGATAACTACTCGAATACTTAAATTACTCGATTACATAAATAATTTAAGTTCAATTTATTCAATATTAGCCTGGGTTTAATTTTAAATGACTGCTTATATTTCTTTTCGGTGATCGTAAACTATTTAGAATTCTAGAATCAGCATATTATCCAAAAAGCAATAAATTTGTGTTCATTTTTTTCTTTTATCTATAGTGTAAATAATTTATAGTTTTTCTTGAAACTTTTTGAGCTTTTCTACTTCTTTGAAAGTGTTTTCTAAAAAACAGCAGATGTCATTATAAAACCAACAACTTACAGAATCTGACAGTAAAATCCTGAATAATTTATTAGAAAACAATATAATGTATATACTTTATATATATATATAGTAGTTGATAAAATATGAATTATTTCAAAATATATGTTTGTAAATGTTAATGATTTGTATTTATTTGTCTTTAAAAATAAACAAAGTTAGAATATTTACAATAAAAACAGTTTAATACGTCATATTATAATTGATAACGCTTGGTCATTCATACACAAGTACTCGTATTTGGTAATTCGTTATTGTTACATCATATTATATTAATTCAATCGGAATAAGCTAAGTTTGGATAAAAGCTTAAATTTTAAATAATTTGAATTTTGTACCTAGTTTTGAAATTCCAATTCAAATTGTACTTAGAATCGTTAAAATGCACATCCTTGGTCCTTGGTTTTAAACTATTTCGATAACTCTTCGGTTACGTAGGTTTAAAAAATAAATAAATATTCGAGGAATAGGCTTCTTTTACATAACTCACTCTAACTACGTAGAACACATAAATTTAAGAGATTGTTTAATAAAGTGATTTCCTATATCAACTTTATAATATATACACATACTAAATAATATTTGAATTATGTCAATACAGTTAAAGCATTTGAATGTTCTTAATATATTTTTTTATTAAACCGTGTATTTAAATTTAAAAATAAAAATAAAATAAAAATGATTAATATTTTATTAAAAAAAATATATTTAATATTCTCACATTAATCTTGCTTTTTATGAGACTAGTCGTTTTATATTTTTTGCTCATTTATTCAGCATGAAGGATAATTAAAAATAATGTTCATATTGTTAAATCCTCGCGTTATTCTTTTTATTCGGTTTAGTGGTTGTTGTCGTAGTTGGCTTAATACAATTAAAACCTTTAATTGGTCGAAACAAACTTTTATGTGCTTTTTTTAAATTGATTCAAATAGTTATGACCATTATGTTTTGAGATCAGTACAGCAGACATACCAAAATCTTTGAACTCGTGAATGGACAACGACTTGAAGTTATTTCTCCTGATTTATTTATTTGTAGACATTTATTCGGAAATGTACCTTATATTGATTAAATGACGAGTCTTATGACCATATTTCGACGTTAAACATCTACCTGATTACCACATTAAGCTTTAGATGGAACTATATGAGTAATGATGTAGATGAATAGGCGATTTGAATAGTAATGTTGTTGTTGAACTATAATAATGAATAATAAATGCTTTACTTAAATGACTATAAATTATTATTTTTATTTAACCACAAATATCATAATCAGCGATAATATATATTTATATAATACATACATATACAATGTCAAATTATCATGGCTCTCTGGTAAAAAATACTAATTTTAAATTCCATCGATGATAACACTAATGGGAACCTATATTATTATGGATTAATACAATATAACAATACGCCAAATTGAATCGGCAAGACAACATATTTCTACAATAATTAACATACACTTAAATATACAACAATGATATAGGTATAGCTTAACAGTATATATATATTATATTATTAACATAAAATAAGACCATTGATATACATATAATATGTTTATCAGTTTTGCTATTTTTTTTTATTACAAATAATGATTTAAAATAATTAGGCTTTTCCAACGTCTGGTTCACACTTCACCGTGCTGTTACATATAATATTTGACATGTAGGTAAAAAAATGTTCGTAACACATTACCTATATGTTGAATATATTAAATTCTATACCTACTTTACTTTTATAAGAGTAGTATTCAATAATATTTTTACGGCCATAGAAAATTGGTGTATCATTGAAAACTTAAAAAAAAAAATATTTAGCTATCGATAAGACTTTTCGTTCGATAAACAGACACACACAATTATTATTTCCCACTCCTCTCTTCTGGAGACAGTTTCATGAATACGAAGCATGTTATTTCTAAAGCAGTATTGAATCGAATTGTTGGGTTATTTACAATCGGCATCATGTTGGACTTGTTGAAATTAAATTCCCCTCCTTGGAATGCACAACAAGGGAGTAACCGAACGGGGTGGAATGCGACAGACACTTTTTACTATAATATAAGCCGCCGGCATAGTTTCGGACAACTAAGCGTTTTATTGTTACATCAATCCTACAGCTATGCCGGTGCCTAATGGCACGGAAATTATTATAAATCATCGGTTCGCCGAAAAAGCACGGAGGTTTGTGGAAGAGTAGTCCCGCACGTGTCTGAGACTTTAAAATAAATCCACTAAACATTTCTGAACGTAAATTCTCACAGCAGATTTATTTTTATTTTTTCACTGTTTCCCGTTTTTATGTACAATACTATAGCTGCATTCCATTTAAGCCGTTCATAGTGATTTATATTTAAGTATTTTTTCTTTTAACATTAATGGGTTATATAATATTGGTTTTTTTATATGTACATATTACGATAGTTAACTATAGTTTTTAATATCTCATCGACCGTTTTTTTTTTCACTAAACGAATCGGTCGTAGTTTCAAAATTGAATCAGGTCAATCATCTCATTGATACATCAAATATGTTCGCTAAAAGTGAGTGGAACACATTAAAACATGTTTTGCTACCTGGTTAATCTCAATAGTGAACTGTGAAAAAAAGGTCAAGATATAATTGTATTTTCAACTGGCTCAAGCCGTTTACAGAATTATAGATTAATTTGAGCCAAGTACAATGCAATATTTAAAAGAGTTTAATTTTGCTACTCGATTTATTGTTTTTTTTTCGTTCTAATAACTATGGATTGTCATATTATTATAGTTTATATTTTTTTATTTTGTATATTCTATCATGTCATATTTATATTTACAGGAAAAAAGAAATACATCTATAAGTGTTTTTGGTACAAGTACGTTGTGGACATAAATATATTTATTAAAATGTAACTGTTAATTATAATAATTCAAGTTGAATTAAATTTAACCTGATAATATTGATATGAATTAAAATTTTTTATCTTTTTAAATGGAGAAGTTTTCACGAAAAAGAAAAATATTTAACATAAACTCACTTTAAGAATTTTAAAAATTCTATAGAGTATAGTTGTTAATAAATATTGTTAGTGTCATTACAACAACTTAAGACTAAAATATTTTATTTGTAAATCAAAATTAATTAAATCGTGCTAAAAAATAATTATTTCATACAATAATTTATTATTTTCAACAATATCGGAATTCTGCAGAAAACACAGTAATGCTTTCAAAAAACATAACATAAATTCATTTAAAAAAAAATAAAATAAAATACATTTAGTAAGTCCATTTATAGAAAGAATTTCACAAACACACAAATTTAAAAAAAAATACATTTTTCGAAGCATTGGATTCGAACGGAACTAAATATTGCGCATTTAATATTATCTAGTGCAGAATTTTAAGTTTTATAATATGATAACATCGTTTAACTTTAACGGTCCACGACGCACAACAGTGCGCTTTTCGACTATTGTATAACGATCGGAGGAAACTATCGAACGTCGAATGACGTTCCGGTGGAAATTTTCCGAAAGAGTCTATATTTTGATAAATATCAAACTATATTTTTACAACCCTATTTCTAAGGCGTGGACCTGCCAACAAGTACGCACGACAAAAATATCAAATATCTCACAGCTTATTACGATATCATATTAATATTACTATCGCATTATTTACAGGTGAGAATGACGATTGTCCGTCATTGAGTGTCGGTTGGTACAACCTCTGCGGAGTCTACGTCGGTGAACGGACATCCGGTCGTGGCTTTTGACCGTCTATGAGTCAGGACCTTCGCCAACGTACCCTTCGTCCGGGCTCTCTGTGTTGGCCGGTTGCTTTTGCACGGCGGTGACGGCCTTGTGTTGGTTAGCGTGTTCAGTAGTCAAGTGTTGCGGCTGTCTGCCAGTTGGTGGTAATGCAGCAGCACCGGTTACCAGTGGCGGGGGTGGCGGCGGCATCATCATCATCATGACCATGGTTTCGTCGTCGAGCGTCTGTGCAGACGCGTTTGACAATGACGGTGGTTCGTAAAAAGTGGATGCAGCCGTAGCGTAGTATGCCGCGTCTGCGGCCACTGCGGACGCCGGGTACGGATATCCCTGTTGGTTGTACCGGACGTTTTGCGGTTCGTACCGGGGCAAGTGGTGCTGTTGTTGGTGCTGTTGCTGGTGGTGATGATGGTGGTGATGGTGATGTTGCTGTAACAGGACGAACTCGGCTTCTTGGCACGACCGTCCTTGCGGCTTGGCTGCATTTCGGCGGTGCGGTAGCGTCCGGTACAAGGACGGCGGCGCCGGTACGGGATACTGGCCAGAAGACAACTTGGGCAGCCCGTAATCGGCCGGATACGGTTCGCCGGCAGCCAACTTACCTGGCGACAATTGCAATTCGTACGATCCACAGCCGCCGCTCGACGGGTAAACGATAGCCGTACCGCTCGCACCGGAACTCGTCCAAAAGTCCCGGCCGCCGGACGGGGGCGGCGGCACGGCTATCTTGTACACTTCGTCACCGGCGTCGCAGTAGTCACCTCCGACGTTGTCCCGGATCACGGTAGACGCGTCACTGATCAGATCCGGGTTGGCCTCCAATGTGGTGGTCGCCGACGCCGCGGCCGGATGTCCCGCGGCCACGTGCACTTGCTGGTACGGGTCGTAACCGCCACCGCCCGCATGCAGCACCTCGTGCACTTCGTAACCGGCAGACGAACCCGGGTGGGCGGTCGTGTCATACTCGCCGTACACGCTCACGTCCTCCGCAGACGACAACTTCCCGTCGACCGTCGACGAAACGGTTAGGTTCACCGAGTCCGATTGTCTGATGTCGGACGTCGTCTTCGCTCCCTGTCCGCTGCTATTGGACGGATCGTCGGCGTCCGCGTCGCCTCCACCGGCTCCGGACGACTTGCCGGCCGTCCGCCCGCCGCGGTCTCGACGCCGCCGGCGTTTGGTCACCGCCAACCGGCAGGCGACAGCGCAGACCACGGCCACGGCCACGAAACACACCGAACCGGCCAGCACGATGACCAACAGGGCGGGAGGCGGCGCGTCCGGCGGATACGAGCCCGCCGCCGCCTCGGACGGTTCTTGGATGACGCGCACTGTGAAATTGCACGCGGCCCAGCCCGCCCGGTTTTCGGCCACGCACGCGTACGTGCCGTTGTCCGCGGGCCCCGCGTCTTCGATGGACAGCTCGACGCCGGCCGCGGCCGTGCCGTTGGCCACCTGCCGTCCCTCGAACCACCACGATATCCGCACCTGTCCGACCGGCTTCACGTTGCACGCGAGCGTCACGTTCTTGCCGGCGTCCGTTTCCACGTACTCGGGGGACGCGGCCGCGGCCACCGGCGCGCACGCCAGTTCCTCGGCCGCCAGCTTCCGGATGACCGTGCCGCGCAACCGGTCCGGTTGGTGGCAGGTGGGCTCGACCGTGTGCGGCGCACTGTTGTTGTTCAGCCACCGGTGCACGTCCCGCAGCCGGCAGTCGCACG